CGTAGTAATTCAAAAAATCCATTTTGAATCGTTGGATCCTGATTCTGGTTTTAGTCGCTTATTACGGTATTAATTAGAAGATAAAGCTACTCTATTTTCAATTTTGCGGTCCTTTATCGTTGATTTAAGACCGCTGAATTAAACATTTAGCGGTCTTAAATCAACGATAGTTTCTTCGTAGTTTCTTCACCAAAGATGCTGCCGAGATAGAAATTGCCGATGTCCGACATGTTTGTTTACAAACAATAGGGTCAACGGGTTCGTTGTATTCATATGCGGTGAATCGGTCACTTTGATTAGCGGTCCTTAAACTGTCATTTAAGTACGGTTTTGATGAGCTCTAAGCCAATCAGAATCGAAAATCACACATGGTCGTGCTAGAATGTTGGTTTATGGTAGTATGACTGAAAGTGTATGGCTATGACTTTATCACTGTTGATGATTTTGTCACTGATGGTGTGCGAGTATGATTTTTCCACCGATGATGTTTGCTATGAATTTGTCACTGGTTGTGTGTGACTATGGTTTGGTCACTGATTGTGTATGGCTATGATTTTGAAACTGATTGTGTATGCCTGTGATTTTTGCCACTGACGGTGTATGGCTGTGATTTTTTTCACTGACGGTGTATGCCTGTGATTTTTGCCACTGACGGTGTATGGCTGTGAATTTTGTCACTGACGGTGTATGGCTGTGACTTTTGTCACTGACGGTGTATGCCTGTGATTTTTGTCACGGATGGTGTATGGCTGTGATTTTTGTCACTGACGGTGTATGCCTGTGATTTTTGTCACTGACGGTGTATGGCTGTGATTTTGTCACGGATGGTGTATGGCTGTGATTTTTGTCACTGACGGTGTATGGCTGTGATTTTTGTCACTGACGGTGTATGGCTGTGATTTTTGTCACTGACGGTGTATGGCTGTGATTTTTGTCACTGACGGTGTATGCCTGTGATTTTTGTCACTGACGGTGTATGGCTGTGATTTTGTCACCGATACTGTATTTTGTCACCGTACTGTAGGTTCTGTCATTGTGGTATATGATTTAGTCAGTGTTGATTTTCTGGTTTACTACTGGTTTAGGGGTATTTTTTCACTGGTAGTATATGGTTTTATATCATAGGTGGTCTATAACTATGACTCCATCACTGAATGATTATGACCGACCGTTTTAATACATATTGTTTATGGATTTATCACTGAATATTTGTGGTCATGTTTTAGTCCATACACCCGTGAAGATACGGATTATAACTGATGGTGAGTTTGGCGCGAGAAGCGAATACTGGGATAATGCTCGCCGGAATGACTGATCCATGCCGTTTTATCTCAATTACGTCAAATGATGTTCATGATGTCAGTGACTGGATTATCTGGTCGATTGTTTACACACCGCCGCATACAGATAGGATATTGCTGAGTGCGGCGTTAAGGGGCGTACAATATATAGGAGCACCTCACTCTAAAATAAAACTAAAATAAAATAACCTAAAAAGAATACATAATATACAATTTAACAAACGGAATGTGAAGGAGTTTTGCATTTTAATAGGGGTAGATATAAATAGATGATGTGCACACTATATAGGAGCACCCCACCCTAAAATAAAACTAAAATAAAATAACCTAAAAAGAATAAATAATATACAATTTAACAAACGGAATGTGAAGGAGTTTTGCATTTAAAATAAGAATAGATATAAATAGATGTGTAAATTAAAAAAGACATTGGGTATTTACACAATAAAACCAAGTACATATATATTTAGACTTAGTGAGGGAGCTGACATTGAGACCCACAGTCTTACCCGTTCATTACATTTATCAGATACACGGTCTGGCAAAACAAGTAACGTGATCAGGTCGAATCTTGGAATGCCTACCCACGCTTCTGCACGTTTTGTGGACGAAACTCTGCACAGGGAATTGAAGAGTCTCAGACTTATTAAATTTAATGGGAGTTTTTCTACACTGGTATCACAAAGCATGAGAGAAATGGAATAACGAGCATAAAAAGTTGAACTAGCCTCCTGTTTTACACAATGAATGAATGAATGAATGAATGAATGAATGAATGGATGGATGGATGGGTGGAGGATGGATGGATGGATGGATGGATGGAGGATGGATGGATGGATGGATGGATGGATGGATGGATGGATGGATGGATGGATGGATGGATGGATGGATGATAATGAATGAATGAGTCGACATAGAGTTAATTATGTGGTATGAAACCAGGTGCGATGAGTGCATCACGACACAGGACTAATTAGCTGCACAACTGTGCCTGCAGCTTTTCCCACCAGCTTCATAATTAATTAGAATTGAGAATCCCGACAGCCGGTCTTATCTAATCGGTGACGGAGAAAACATGATATTGGCGTCACGGTGAGTGTGTTTCTGTATGAGTGGGAGAGTGTGTCTGTGGTTGGTGAGCGTGGGGGATGTGTTAGAGAGAGTGTGTGTCTGCGGTTGGTGAGTGTGTTGGGGATGTGTGTGTGTGAGAGAGAGGGAGTGTGTGTCTGTGGGTGGTGAGTGTGTTGGGGATGTGTGTGTGTGTGTGTGTGTGTGTGTGTGTGTGTGTGTTGTGTGTGTGTGAGTGAGGGAGTGTGTGTGAATTAGAAAATAATCCGTTGCCGGGACGAATCTTGCGCATGCGTAGAAAACGCCAACTGCGATGAAGTTGCAAGGCCAGGTTGCAAGTTTGTATTTTGTATTCGAGACACTGGAAAAGGAGCTGTCCTACCGCTTGTTGTCAAGAAACAACTCAGACTACGTCGCCAAATCAATATTTAAACTAATTTAAACTAATTGGCAGCATCCATCACACATCGTTTATTCGCTTCTTTAGATTGTAAGGATTGGCATCGGCAGTTATGTTTAATTCAACAGTATGTTTAACAATGGGAATTGTTCTTTCATTTGCTGTAGGTTTACATCAGGGAATAATTCAAAAGTTGTTGTGAGTGAGCTCCGGAGGTTCAAAATTTCTGAGACGGAAAGAACATTTACAGTAATATGTCAGAGCGTTGTTGTGTATATCTGTGTCTCTGTGTGTGTTTGTGCGTAGAACTGTCTATGTGTGCGGGTGTGTATGCGGGCGTGTGTCTATCACAACTTAAGAACCACGTCCGGTTGTAATTCTTGATCTTCTGCCGCCGCTAAATAGTTTATAGAACTTTATTTTAAGCTTTAATATGTGTCCCAGGGAGCTGCATGATTGTGTAAACCAGAATATCACACATATTAAATCAGACATCTTAGTTTTAAGTGCTCCAAAAACGAGTCAATTGTCGTTAAGCGCTACGCTTCGCAATCTTCCAATTATACGACGGTGGCTTACAGTGAGTGAGTGGGTGCTCATGGGCTTCACATATTGTACCCATGGGGGCAATCGAACCCGGGTCTTTGGCATAACGAGTGAAGAACAGTGAGTGAGTGAGTGAGTTTAGTTTTACGCCGCTTTTAGCAATATTACAGCAATATCACGGCGGGGACACCAGAAATGGGCTTATCACATTGTACCCACGTGGGGAATCGAACCCGGGTCTTCGGCGTGACGAGCGAACGCTTTAACCACTAGGCTACCCCACCGCCCCAGCGAAGAACAGTAAATGACTGCCCAACCGCCCTTGGCTTACAAGTGATCCAGTCTGGAGCAGACAATCCAGTGACTGATCATTAGCAACTGTTCATGGTGTCAGCATACGCAATCAACCAAGCAACTGAACAAGACATCCGGTGTTGTATTTGTTTACCTCTTGCTGCGGAACCATCTTTTCACCCGGAAAACCCATAAGATCCGGTTTAGAAATGATCTTCACTAAAACATACTTTTCGTAAGACTAACGGGATTCGGGTAGTCAGACCCGCTGACTTGTTCAACAGATGTCATCGTATCCCAATTGTGTAGATCGATGTCATGATGTCAATCACAGGATTGAAAATACACAATTCCATTTAGAAAGTGGTCGAATGTAGCACATGTTATATTTGGGATTACACTTTCTCAGTAATGTACAGCTTACAGTACTTCTTGGTTCCGTGGTCCAGGCTACCAGTTGTCCGACTTCCACTTTTGGAAAACCGGTATGGTTGAGTGGGTTAGAGGGCTGACTTTGTGTGCTGGCGATTAGGTTCCTGACTCTGGGTTGCCTCAACCCAACGTAAGTAATAGAACCTGTACTTAACTGAGAAAGTGTGACCCCCATATGTAATAGTGGTGTTCCGATTAATTGAAATAATCGAAGATTGGTCGCAGTGACCAAACGACCAAGCAATCGATCACATTTTCTCATAATCGAACATAAACGATTTTGGAACTACTGTTTTAGTCTTTGAAATACTTGACAATGGAACATATCTTAGAAGTTGTCAGGGCCTGGAAACATGTTTATTTCTTAGAAACCTCACTTCACTAACTGAAAAGTCATGACTGAATATTTCTCTAAGACTCCAGGAAGTTTATGTTCATGATATATTAGTCATCACTTTAATGTAGCAAGTGGGAACATGTTATACTTTTCTGCAGTAACAACCTGGATAGGAAAATCTGAAAAATGACTCTAGCCAATTTATTTCGATGATTGTTCGTTGGTAATGAAGCAATCATCAATTGTGAGATTTCAACCAATTCCCAACACTAATATATAACGTGTACAATCACTGGATTGTCTGGTCTTAACACGCCGCCGTTATACAGCTTAAATAATTATGTAAAACAACAAGGAAACAAAAAAATGGTAGAGGCCCTATGGCTTCCCTGACATGAACAAACATGAACAAGCCGATGACGTCAGTAAATGTTTCTTTGTGTATTTTTAAGAGTCTCGCGCCGTTAATCTTAAATGTATTGAATCGATTGATATAGACGCGACTTGGATCTTAAACTATCTGAATATTGTTTCGTGGCCACACAAAGGATGGTTTCTTTATCTTCTTGCACTCGTAAATACTACGTGTGATGAATATTTGTCTTCCCATCATCGATGACGTACATTATTCATCAGACCATTACTTCCTATGATTACCGTGCGTCCACCTGATGCGTATGTGTGAAACTAATTGTTGTTAGTGGTTTGGGATCAATAGAACGTTCATGCTCAATATAGATGCCCTGTTGATATATTTGACGACAATCAGTTTGCTGCATGGAACGAGTATGTATAGAAGACACGTGTGTTCTGTGTGAAAAGTGTGGTCCCAGGAGCGTTGCAGATTTCGGTTTCATGACAACGGAATTGTACAGTGTTCTGAACTAGTGTCATATGTCACATTGAGGCAGTCTAGTTTGAACGAGAAGGTAAGTTTATTAAAATGCTTTATTAGTTGAGAAATAGACTTGGATTTGGGGACATGGCATGTCTACACTGTTCACTCAGTATACACGTGTCTGATCTGATCATATGTAAACTTGAACTGGGGTTTGGGGATATTTTGGCATGTAACCACTTGAAGTGGTCTAGTTTTGCACCGGAAAGTACGTTTATTAAAAGGCTTTATGATTTGAGAAATTGACTTGGATTAGGAGACATGACTTGTTTATACTGTCTACTCAATATACAAGTATCTGATCGTATCGTATGTCAAATTGAGGCAGTCTAGTTTGAACGAGAAGTTAATTAAAATGCTTTATACTCAAAACCAGTATCGACCGAGAACGTCAGGTTTAATTTGTGGCGAATCATAACAACGTGGATTGTTATTGTATAGGCTCGCACAAGGCGGACAACGTTTATTAACCGTTAATGAAAACATAATTACCGTAATAATTAGATGTATATAACAAACTCATGTGCAGAGATGCGATGTAGCGTCGAAGCCGGCCTGAACTGAACGCTGCACTACATTCTGCATTTATGATTTGAGAAATAGACTTGGATTAAGCACATGGCGTGTCTATGCTGCATATAAAATATACAAATATCTAATCTCACCGTATGTCAACTCGAGGTAGTGTGGTTTGAACGAGAAGGTTATTAAGTTTATTAAAATGCTTTATGACTTGAGAAATTGACTTTAAACATTAATCATTAATTTGAACATTATTTGCGGTTGTATATATTCTGCTTGACCAATAACTCTTCATATACTCTTCATTGTATCAGTGACCAGTCATTTCCTTATTAATGTAAACATTATTTGACTGTTGTTTATTTGACTGATGTGTATATTTCTGCTTGAACATTTAAATGAATCATATACATGTCAATGTAATCCATGGCAACACACAGTATTGTGGACGTCATTATTAAGAGTGTTGGTCAGATCGATAAACATTCCTTTGCATCACGGAAGTTAGAATTCAGTTGATGTAAACATGCACGCACATGCCTCACTATTCGCAGCATGGGACGGCGATGGAAACACGCTGACTATATGTATATGCGGTAGTGCGGATCTAATCGTAGAAGAAGAAGAAGAAAATTGTTTATTAAAGTGCCACATGTTGTACATCACAAAAGGCATCATAAAATAGAGACATAAAATTGAGTGCAACATCCGGCCATTACGGCCTATGAGACACTATACTGCATTTAGAGACAAATGTTAAGATTAAAGGATCAATCACTAACATCTATTCTAGCACGACAATGTGTGATACTCGATTCTGATTGGCTGAGAGCTCATCAAAACCATACTTAAATGACAGTTTAAGGACCGCTGATTAAAGTGACCGATTCACCGCGCATGAATACCACGAACTCGTTGACCCTATTGTTTGTAAACAAACATGCCGGACATCGGCGATTTCTATCTCGGCAGCATCTTTGGTGTTTTTGAAGTAAAAAGCGAATGGTTTCAAGAAGAATTTCTTGACCCTAATCCAAGTGAAGAAACTACGAAGCTGAAAAATCCGTCAGCAGCGCAAAAGCGGCAGTATATTCAAAGCGGGTCCAGATCTACGTGTGTTGACGTCGACAACACACGTCGGCCCAGATGTCCTAACCTGACCGCTTCCGTCAGGACCGTAATGCCCAGTCCTTCCACTTCCACTGTCCATGTATCCCACATAAAACGTGGCATGTCAGGTCTTTTATAAATTGGGAATAGTAGGGTGGTTATCAACAATTATTTCCGTGAATAAAGTTAGCGGCGACTAAACTTAGCGAGTTCACGGCTTGCATTTTGGCGAGTCGATTGTCATACAGTAGGGGAGATCAATAATTGTATTTGCGCACAGTATAAACGGTAATTTATTTTATTCATGTATGCTACTTGTTACAAATACAAGCATACTGGTTCCTGAAATATAGCATTTATGTTGTTGAAAATGTCTTATTTTGTTCATTACACAACCTGTCCCTCAAGGGGACGATTCCAAGCGATTTCCAGGAAAAGGGCCCCTTTGCGCATTGTGTTCTTGCGCGCCAAACAGTTCGGTTTTAAAGCGCTTATCAGTACTGCTAGAATGAAGATAAAGCTACTCTGTTTTCAATTTTGCGTTCCTTTATCGTTGATTTAAGACCGCTAAATGTTTAATTTATAACCTCACGCTAACGGGTTCGGTTTTTAAATTACATTTAGCGGTCTTAAATCAACGATAAAGGACCGCAAAATTGAAAACACAGTAGCTTTATCTTCTAATTAAAATACTGTAGGGGGTGCGAAATTAAACCACAAAGTTAAAAGGAGAACAGCAAGGTGAGGTTAAATAGTGAATAGGTAGGTTAATTATTGACGATGCCTAAACATGCGTAGTAGTAAAGAGGCTACTTGTTTAATAAACTGGCTATCTTGCATAATGAGAGTGACCTGATCAACAGGGGTGTAAAGGGTAAGGGAAGGGTTTACTGCCGTGACAGCCCTCCATAAGTCGTATCTGATATCCGAATAAAAACTACAGCGCGCCAAGAAATGAATTTCGTCCTCGGCCTAACTACTTTTACATTTACTGCAAATGCGTTCTTCCATATGGGACTTCAGTTGGAACTATACTCATTATTGTCATCCACTAACACATTAACATTTTTTGGTGTTAACATTAAATCGCACATTCAAGGAAAACGTGCTGTATTTGAGGAATGTTTGTGGGAGAGACAGAATTCAAGAATAACATTGTGTGATAGGTATCTTCCCATAAGACAGACCTCCCAAATGACAGACCGCTTAAAACAACACATTTTATGGTTGGTTGCATAAGGCTTAATTAAGCTGTACCCTGGATAATAATGGTATGTGCCCAGATAAAAAAGACAACATTAGGTATTAACTTTAGTTTTATTAATTGATGTAATGAATTATGATTTTAAAATTAAGACATATTGCATCAACATATATATGTACATCAACATATATTTTCAAATTTACTTGTGAATATTATCAAAAACAATAAACTATATACATGTACCTATCAAGCATATGAGACCAGGCACCATATTATTTTACATCAGTTCACAGATAGCACTTATCAGAAAGTCACTTGAACATCATCAGTGGCACTGGTAGGGAACTTGGTTACAGTGACAGTGGAGTCTTTGTGATTTTTGCGACAGAAACTTTATGATTTATGAGTCTTTGCAATGATATGTGTTATAATAAGATAGATGGTAATTATAGCTTTAGTTTGTGGTATTAAAGACTATAATATGCACAACGAATTATGTCAAGTTTTCCGCATAAAATTGTGTCATATATATCAATATTTCAACATCAACTTTACTAAAATATTATTTAACAATTTATGACTTTACGAGATTATCAAGGGTTTTCAGAGTAATATAACTATGTAAGTAAAGTGCTTGAAACAATTCTTAACATCTCTAACAACTCAGTTCTCTACTACTCAGTATTCACTTGTAAACGAGGAGAGATATGAATGTGTTGTTAGTGGCTCTGGGTCAGCTCATTTATTACATAGGGGAGGACAGCATGGCTCAGCTAATTAGTGTACTCATTGAATCTGTCTTATGGGAGGTCTGTCTTTTGGGAGTGATTATCACGCATGTGTTTTTTGAATATTAAATTTTCTGTATTAGAACACACTATGTGTTTAGCTCAATGATGGTTACTTAAAAAATATAAGAAACCCTATTTTGACGCCATAGTATATAAAAAAAAGTTGAAAATAATAGCTTCACAAACTGATGATTTTATAAAGGCACATAACACTGTAGACAACGACTCGAAAACGCTCGGCACAATAATGTGTAGTCTCCGATCATTCTGTTATCAGCCAAACAGAAGATAGTAGTCCGTTGTGCGCGAAAAATCAACAACACACAACAACCAAACAATCTTAAGTATACCAATGGCGCTCCCAAACAGATTGACAAAGACAATATTAAGTCAGGATTCCAACGCATCTAATCACAGTCATGAAATATGCCTAATTGTCACGTTGAATAATTGTTGTCATTTTATCATCAAATTTCATAAATATGTATACTGTATAAAACCTAATTTCAGAAAATATGTATGTTTTTTACCATCATATTTAAGAATTATGTAGCATTTTAGCATCAATTTCAGGAGATATACAATTTTTATGAACGACTCAGACATCAAATATATTTCCTCAATTTTTTAGGAATTATGCATAAAATTATACAAAGTTCCTGTGATATATACAGTATTTAGAACGAGAAGTGGCTTGAGTATATTTCGTTGAATGAGTTATGTACAACACATTGACTGGAGACGATGTGAATTCAATAAGTCTCATGTAGAAATTCCCTATGGTGTACAAGAATGGTAATTACAGCACATCGCCCCAGCTCAGACATTGTGAATTCAGTCTAAGAAATGCCCTGATTGGAATTGGTCTCAGGCAGAACATGCTGGCTGTAAGAGCGACTGACGTGGATGGGGTGGTCAGGCTCGCTCACTTTGTTGACACGTCATCGTCTCCCAGCTGGGTGGATCGATGCTCATACTTTGATCACTGGATTGCCTGGTCCAGACTGGATTATTTACAGACCGCCGCCATACAGATGGAATAGCGATAAACAACAACAAACAAACTGTAAGAGCGACCATAAACTATAAGAGCGACCATAAACTATAAGAGCGACCGAATGGTCTTGACTCCGTGACTCCCGCGACGTGATCGACACCGCTCGCAACATCAATCATGTTGAGGCCGCAATCATAAAGCTGGAATACAGCGGGGTTGAACAATAAGCGCAACGCGTCAGTGCAACGCGTCAAGTCCCAGATTTGCCCTCGTATACCACTATATAACATTAATCTGCGATTTCCATATATAGGTTTAAAAACAAATGTGTTTTTTCGGTTGTGGAGGTGGTAGCAATCTTTATATATAAAAACAGTAACATAAAATGCCTGAAAAAGAAAATGATAATTATGCTGCAGACAAGTTGGGGAAAGAGAAATTGTCTGCTATGCAATACATTGTTTTAAGATGTTTTTCAAAAAACGTATTTAGCCTTTTAGAAATGTTTTAAAATGGATATGTCTGCTTTTGCAGCTGCAGCTGAAAAAACCCCATGCAGTCTCCATGCAAATCTCCCCTTCCCCACAGAATATGGCCTAAGCATGAAACCTCAGCTCCTGGCGGTAAAAACCTTCACTTCGTCTTTCTTCCAATATCAGACAGTTACGCTGATATACTGTTAAATTAGGCGTCGAAATTCACTTATGTCACGGAGAGCTAAGTTTGCCTGATGGAATGGTCGGCTTATCCAAAAATATAACACATGTCAAAGCCGGCAGTCATCAGATTATTTCTTCTACCATATCTATCCCACGTTGCCAAAACCTGCATCCCACGTGTGGCCCGTGAGGGGCTGTCGATAACACGGGATAACGGTATCCCTTCCTCGTTACTCACCAATCACGGATGTAATCCTAGCCTGCTGCACAAGGGATGAAGCTGGGGAGAATGGTCTCCAAGACAGGGATGACTGAGTTGCCAATTTTCACGTCGATGGAAATACTTCTATAATAAATCAAGTTGTGGAGGGTCGGCGGTGTCGGGTTTATTTACAGCACAAATTTACCCAAACCGGTTATTTGTGACAAGTGATGAGCGTGTTGTCGAGTGATGTTTTTCCGGCGTAGACTTGATTATTACAGCCCTCAATTTTATTGCTTGGAGTTCGATTTCTCTGGCGCAAAACAAAATTCATGATCAGTTGCTATATCTGTGTTGAGATGAACGTTCGTAGGGCGCTTTACGTTTAGCAATCTAAATTGTGTGTGAGTGCATTTGTGCGCGTGTGTGTCTTTGTGCCTCTATGTCTCTCTTTCCCTGCCTCCCCCCCTCTCTCTCTCTTTCCCTCCTCCCTCTCTCTCTCTCTCTGTCTGTGTGTGTGTGCTTGAAGGGGGAGGGCATCGTTGATAATGAACTTGTTTCAAGATATACACATTCCAATTACACAATCCTCAAGTGAAAAATGCAGAATGTGCCTGTTATAAAAATGAGGATAAGAAAATACGCATACCACTTTCATTGGCTCCCTGTTGAAGCAAGGATTGAATTCAAGATACAGACATTTGCCTACAGCTCAGATCATGGATTCACTCCCGCTATTCAAAAGATCTTTTTTCAGAAGTAGAACCGATCTGTCGATAAGATGCTAGCTTCAGGTCCTCTGGATAAAGATCGTTTTCATACTGTTCTCCTTTCCTATAGAAACTGCTGCCGACTGAGCTCAAATGTCCCTTTGTTTTCAAGGCTAAACTCAAAACACATACCTCTCTTAGACACTACTTGCTCCTGTTTGCTTTGAGCAGCCAGAAAGTGGATAGATGGAATATGGAATGTGTTATCTAAATTTATTTTTTTTAAATAGTACTCTGTGTGCAACAGGAGCTTCTGAGTTTTTAAGGACAATGTGAGTGAGTGAGTTAAGTTTTAATGAGATGTGCTTAACCAGAATAACGCGTACGTGAGTTATGTTTTACGCCGCTTTTAACAATATTCCAGCAATATGGAAGGAGCGGTACACCAGACATGGGTTTCACACATTGTACCCATGTGGGTAGTCGAACCCGGGTTTTGGGTCACGCGTGACCAGCGAACTCTTTAACTACTAGAGTACATCCAGGACAATGTAACAATTGTTACATTCGGGTTCATGCTGACGGTTAAGGTGCCATAATCTCGGGGTTTCGGTTCGAATCCCGGGTGGGACTCAACCCCGAAAAGTACTGGAATCTGTACTGTACTGAGGTGTAATTTAAACAATAAAACATATACAACATTTAATTTAATTTGAAAACTCCCGATTGGTCTTATTTACTCCAGCGCATACCCTGTCCCACTAGAGACAGCGTAATATTATCTGTTATAATATGTG